CATCCAATGCCCGGCTTTGACTCCAAGCGGTTCATCGGACTCGAGGAATGGTTGGCCAAAGAGCTCGAGTGCAGCATTTGTCTGCACGTCTTCGACAAAGCCGTGGACACCATCTGCTGTCACACCTTCTGTCGCGACTGCATTCAGCAGACAATCGTCAACAACCGTCTCGTGTGTCCGCAGTGTCGACACGAGTCGGTCCGCAAACGGCAGCGCAGTCTCACCGCCGAAGCCCAGTGTCATGATATCAACGAATCGCTGTTCAGGAGTAACCGACGCATCGACGGCATTGTCCAGCGATTGCGGACCAACTGTGACTTCGAGGACAAGGGCTGCGATGAGGTGCTCGAGTTGGGACACCTGTCCGCACACCTCGAGAAATGTAATTACAATCTCTGCGAGAACTGCGGCCTCAAAGTCGGCAAACGTGTCGATCATAACTGTCTGGAACTGATGAAGAATGAGAGGAAGCGCTTCATGAACACCATTATTGGCTATAAATTCAAATTAAATCAAACCAATAAACGCCTCAAAACTCTTGAGCTCCGGAACAAAGAGCTCGAGGAAGAGGTGAAGCGTTTTACAGGCGCTGTGGACACCACTCCCACAGCTGTCACTCCCACTTCTACTTCAGGTTCGCGCAGACCTCTGGATCTGACAAAGAATGCAAAGAACTCTCGTTATAGTAAAGCAAAGAATAAATAGTCTATTAATTGTTGTCATGTTTTATCCGTATTTGTAATATTAGTTACGTTTTATGCTGTGATTAACGCACAGATTATAGGCTATTATCACTTGTTTTTTGCTTTTCATATCTAACTTACATATAGAGTACGGAATTAATATAATTTGAGAATAAATTGCTCTTTAATTACTCACTATAACGAGAGTCGACTCATACTTATTGTCTCTGTTTTTATGTCTAATGTATTAATGATTGTATGTTTTGTTTGTGTGTTTAGCGCCAAAGGCCGGCAATTATGGCTTCAAAACGGGCAAAATTGTGCGAAATTATGGCAAAACATTCAATATATTGACGCAAACCGGAGAGAAAAAGTCGGTGTTTCGCATGAAAACCAGTCAAACATTTGACGACTTTGTGAAACACGTGGCGAAGACTTTCGAGACCGACGACCAGCTCTTGAAGATCACGTACAATACCGATGAAGCGATCGCCATATCGGACACAATCACTAAACTGAATATACCCTCCAATAGGCGTACACTAAAAGCTGTCTATAATGACGACCAAATGTTGGTGAATATTATTCTGTAAATAATTTTTTTGTTTAGTTTTTACCGGTATTTAAAATTTGTCTTAAGTTTTGCATTCGTTTTAAATGCGATTCACACGACTAGTAGTTATTAATTGTATATTTATTTTCTTGTTTTATTTTATATTTAATGCACTCTTACGGTATTATAGTGAATACTTAATTTACAATTTATATAACGACATAAATTTAACAATATACTTAATACAACTATGAGATATTATAAGGATTAAATTACATTAATACCCAATTATATTTTATTTTGAGTTCCGTATCAATTTCTAATTTGTATTCATTTTTAAATGTGTTTCATTTAAATATTCGGTGTCAAAAATAGCTATACTGTATTTGTTTTTAAGTAAGATTTATTGTAAAGTTGAATAATGATAATGAACTTCAAACCTATTCAAATTGAATGGATTACAGTTAGTAAACTTATTATTATAAGTTTGGAAAAGCTCACAAAATTCAATTGAATTGTTAATTCAGATTTTGAATCACATATTGCAAAGTAAAGTATGACTGATCACTGGCTTAAATATTATTCAAGGTCTACCTTTTATTATAAGTTTGATGAGTATTTTAGCACATTTTCCACTCAATAGCTAGAAAACTCTAGAATTAGACTTAATTGTATTTTCTTGATTTTTTTTGTCTTTTTTGAAACCAAAATAATGTCCACTAAAATGCCTCCAAAAAAGATAAATAAATCGTGTCTTCAATTCAAAAAGAATGTGAATGCCTTAAGAAGTGATATAATGAATGACGATATCTTAACGCTTATATTATATGAATTAAATGTCAAACAATTATTGAGATTAGAGATGGTTTCCAAACAATTCATGGATTGTGTGGGAAGTGCTCTCAAGAAGAAGAATGGACTTAGTATTGAAAACACGGGATCAGTTGGCCATAAATGTAACATTAGTGACCATTCGTTTGCTGGAGATATAACTTTTATGGTCAACAAAATATCACAGAATAATACTTATAATTGTATTGACACTCAAAGAATACAAACATTGGATTCAATACTATGGAAGTGTTCAGCAATTAAATCGTTATATATTTACAAGACTTACATTGATATCGAAATCATTAAATTGATTGCCAATCGCTGTCCACAACTAAAACGTTTGTACTTCAATGATATCCTATTCGTGTCTCCGGATGAAGAGCTCAAAGAATGTCTCAAAGAACTATTGTCACGAGTGGTTCACATCACTCTTAAGTATATCGATAAGGATTTTGTGAAACTATTACATGTGATCAAAGAGTTACAATTACTGGAATCGCTGGACGTGTTGTACTGCACCGACAAATCTATTGCATTATCCGATTGGTTGCCACAGAATATTCGTTGTCTAAAAACAAGGCACCAATTCTTGTCGGCCCTTTCATTGGACACTATAATCAATAGATGCCATCAGTTGGAAGAACTATCAGTCTGTGGGAACAAAGACTATGAAAATTGGAACCAATTGTTTGCCATTATTTGCAATTCTTGTAAACTTAAAAAATTTTGCTTTGAATTCCCAAACCTTTTCACACATGTGTTCAATGAAAACATATCTAAACTCAGAGACTTGAAGCATTTGTCTATTGGAAACCTGATACTTAACACAAATCTCATGAATCCAATCAATAATCTAAAAGTTTTACGATTAAAAGAGGTTACTTGTAATCCTAATACATGGAATAATTTTGCTAATATATTCACAAATGTGAGGCATTTATGCCTCAAGAATATTCAAATCAATTGCCATACGACTGAATATATAGCTGTTAATCAGTGCAAAGAATGTGTTCACAATTGTCTGCAATATTTGTCACAATTACCACATCTCAGGAGTCTTTTTATTGAATGGTATAATATATATCCAGAGTTGGAGTCAAAAGATCTAAACTTATTTAAGGAACTAAATGTCATTTGTTTGATAGACAAACAGAATATCGATTCTTTGGTAGACTTTTGCATCAATTGTATTGCAAATAGAGTTTCAAAGAATCGCTTAAAACTATTACTAGACTTTGTGACCACAAAATCACTTCTTCAGAGATTGAATGCCTTAAATGTCTTAATTCCCAGATATTTGTCAATTGGTACCACGACAACTCAAAAATGCTTATAATAACACGGGAACTGTCAAATAGTGCTGGTTAATTGTTAATTAGCTAAATTTTTGATACACCAGATTATCTATTTGCAAAGTTATCTATTTATTTTTAAAAATAAATTTTTAACTGTAAAGTTAAAGTGTAAAAATTAAATCACAAATAAATAAATTCCCAATAATTTGTAGAATAAAAATTAAATTTAAATTAAAAACAAAATATTTTTATAAGATTAAAATATTAAATAAAATTTATATTTGTTAGTTATATGATTATAAAACAATTCAACTATTTAATAATTAATAGTGTACTTTTAGTTTTAACATTAAAATAAAGTCTATTTAATAGACCTTGATGATGTCAACCTGTTCATTACTCAATTTACTGTACTGAATTGAGTCAATATGAGTAGGGTTATAACTTATAAACCAACATACTAGCCAATCAAAATGACATAAATCAATGAGTAGGTTCATTGACCATTAGCCAGGCTGATTATTATTTGCTCACTTACTTCGTCATAGCATTTGCAGTAATCGTGTGATTAGATATGGATTTTGAATTAAAATCTTTGAATAATTAAATAATTTTCTTATCAATTAATTAACTAAACTTGAATGTGCCGTAGTTGAATTTATTCAATCTATTTCAGTAAAAACTATAAAATCTCTATGTAATTGCTCATATATCTAATTATATTAGGGAAATGGTATTAGACGGGTATTTGCTAGATTTGATAACAAGGCTTCCTGCTTTATGGGCTTTGTTGCCTTCGCTTCAGCCATATTGTGGCTAAGATAGGTGCACTCAGTCTAGGAATTCTATCTGAACTAATTTTTTTAGCCTCTTTTAAGAAGTAATCCCTCTTCTGCATTACCAAGATGGCTTAGATACGCAAGGAATTTGTTGAAATTCTTTACAATATACATCCGTAATAATTACAGATATTAAAACAATTCTTATTGTATTACTTTTAGAATAAAACTAATAAGGTAATTATATGTCTAATAAAGAAAATATTCAGTTAATAAGAAACTGTACGCCAGATACAAAACAACGATATTATTACTTACAGTATAAGACAAACATTATACAGTTTTGTAGAGAAAAGATCCTCCTTCTATTAAAGAAAATAGTGAAAATTACTTGCTATGATATAGATAGCCCTATACATCAGTTCTTAAAAAATAAGCTAAAGTTATTAGTGAAAGACGACCATCTATACATAGATCTATCACTAGAAAATGATCATTATTCGGATAAATTAATAAAAAAAATCAAAAAGCTAAATTTAAAGGCAAGATCGAAAGTAGATATTAACAAAATAAAAAAAGCAATTTTTTATGCTAAAAAATATCATGGTAATCAGAAACGTCAATCAGGTGAACCTTATTATTCTCACCCTATAGAAGTAGCTTATATGGTAACTGACTATTGTTTCCAAACTGATATCCTTATTACAAGTATACTGCATGACACAATAGAAGATACTACTCTTACTAAAGATATTATTGCATTAGAATTTGGTTCTAATATTGCTAATCAGGTTGAGTGCTTAACACGTAATAAACTACATGGGAAATTAACCGCCAAAGAAATTATAGAACCGTTATATCTTCAAAAAAAGAAAGAGTTATTACTTGTCAAAAATTTAGATAGATTGCATAATATACGTACTATTAGTGTTAAATCCTCGGAAAAACAGTATCAAATAATATTAGAAACTTTAGCAATATTTGTACCACTTGCTAAATATCTTCAAATGCCTAAAGTAGAAAAAGAATTAACAAAGTTATGTATGATAACTCTAGATTCTTTATTTATAAACTATTATAGGACAGTTAATAAATAATGAAATCTATTAACCATAGTTATAGATTTAAAAAACCTGTAAAGTTTAGAGATAACACACTTTCAGCAAATATAATGTTAACAAAAGCTATGATTAACTTAATTTTTAGCAAAAATCAGGTAATTTAATTTACCCCAAAGGCTTTTAAGTTAAAGTTTTGCAGGCTTTTTAAATCCATAACTAGTGTTATTAGAAATTTTTATTAAAAAATAGATTAGAAAATAAATCCCTGAATATTTGTATAGAACTTTCTTCCTGTAAAACACTTGACTGACTGTTGCAAAAGTATAAATAATTAAAAATTATAAGGATACTTTTTAGTAACAATAACGCCATGTTCGACTTTTTTTACAAAGAGACTAATTTTTCGAGTTGTGTTGGCACAAGTTTTAAAGACTTAGTCAAAAATGTAACAATAGTATGAGCAAGTAATTTTCTCGCAATACGAGATTGTAGATGCCAGTAACTCTTAACTCTGATAGCATTAATGGTAAAACGTTCTGTAAGCTGACCAATAACAGTTTTAATTAAACGACGAGTAGAAGTAATCCATTTAAGAAAATCCTTGGATCTATTATCCTTCATATTCTTTTTTAAAGGTGTTTGTAAATCAATGTTTTTGGTGGTCAACTCATCTTTTAAATCCTGTCCAAGATAGCCTTTATCACCCAATACCATACCATTAATATTAGGAGATATTACTTGCAGAGCTTCACGTTCAGACCCATTAGCAGGAGTTATCATGAATCCAGCTATTCGACCTTCAGCATCAATTAAAACATGTCCTAGAAAACCGTAATAATAGCTATCTTTCGAAGCACAGTATCCATAGTCAGCATATTCCTTAAAACATCTACCTCTCTTTGCTCGTGCCAAATTTATTACAGGAATCGGTACACCATCTACCATATGCAGATCTGATTTGCTTGCACTCTTAAACAAGTCGGCAAGAAGCATGTTCTTAATAGATAAAAGACCGCTACATTGCTTCACATAAGACGGTCTACTTTTTAGATTTGGAAACCATACTTGAAAATGACGCTTAAAATATTCCCATATCTGCTTGTCTTGGTGCAAACCGATAAATTCTCCCACCACTTCCATTGTTAATGCTTACACGTCACTTAAGCAAGGTGGAAATCCTGCTTTCCTTACTTTTATCTTTTTTGTTATTAGTAGTTATTCTTTCTTCTATGAAACAATACACAGTAATGATAAACTCTTCTAGGGTCATAGCTTCTTTCTCAATAATTAAACTATGACCTTATTAGGCTATCCTATACTTTTGTCAATCCTTAAAAAAAAGTCGAACATGGCGTAACAATAGATAGTTCCGATGGTAGAGCGACCAGTCACAGACAGGAAGAGGCAATTTATACCGCAACAGCTAGTAACGATTAGGAACTCAATTGGAAAAAATATATTTTGAGAGTTTATCACAAAGTGGTGTGAAGCTAAAAATATTTATGCTACCACTATGGTATAACAAATCTACCATTATTAGTTTTATTATATAGCAACTAATTATATTATGAGTTTATATGAACAAGAAAGTTATATTATTAACCTCTATTGTAACAAGTTTAGAAGTATATGATTTTTTGATTTATTCTTTTTTAGTAAAGTATTTGTCTAAAGTATTTTTTGTGGCTAATGATCCTATGGCTGTATTTATTGAAACCCTCATCATGTTTTCAGTTGGTTATATCGCTCGACCTTTAGGGGGAGGAGTTATTGGTGCTTTAGGAGATAAATTTGGACGAAAAAAAGCTTTTATAATTTCTATTCAAGGATTATCTATTGCTACATTGGCCATTGCTTTTTTACCTTCATACGCAACTTTAGGTATTACAAGCCCTATTTTATTAACATTTTTACGGATAACACAGGGGTATGTCATAGAGCTGAATTACCTGGAGCAATCACCTATGCTATTGAATTTGCTTCTGAAGAAAAAAAAAGATTCTCATCTGGAGTTATTTTTTGTGGTGTAGGTGTCGGAGGTATATTAAGTACTACGGTACTTTATTTGTTGACAAGTATTTTTACAGAAGATCAAAATATTAAATTTTGCGTGGCGTATACCTTTTTTTATTGGAGGTGTACTATCCTTAATAGGTATGTATTTTCGACTCCATGTATCAGAAACACCGTTGTTTAAAAAAATTAGTGTTAAAAATCAATACCCTATTAAAAGTTTGGTTTTAGATTATAGAGGCCAGCTCCTTATGGGAATAAGTATTGCTATTTTCCCAACTCTTTTCATTATATTTGGGCACTATTTGCCAGCCTACTTAGGACAATTTACTTTGTACCACAGTAAAAGTGTATATCTTTATATGCTTTTTGGAATGATTACTTTTGCTATTGCTGCCCCATTATTTAGCTACATATTAGATATTATAAACAAGCCAATAATGATTTTATTAATAGGATTCATTGCTTTGCTCTGTGTATTAAGTTTTGTTTATAATAAGCAGGTTAATAATCTGCTCATGTTTATTTTAGGATATAAACTTTTATCAGCAACTTTCATTGCATATTTTCCGCATGTTTTAGCTGGACTATTTCCTACCAATATACGTTACTCAGGAATTGCTATGAGCTATAATATAGCATTTATATTTTCAGCGATTTTATTATTGTTAACTACTTTTCTAGTCAAATCACAACAAACATATAATTACATTATTATTTTATTTCTAGGTATTGCTTTATTTAATATGTTTATTAGCATCAAATATATTTGTATGAAGAAAGAAGGTGTATTTAAATGAGTGTAAAAATAATACAAAATATTGAGGACTATAAGCTTGATTTTATAGAAAAAGAAGTCAAAAGAATTTGTACCCCCCTTTTTTTAGGTTCAAGAATAAGTTTTTTCGAATATGATTTAGCATTTCAGGATTATTCACGTATAACTATAACTTCAAATCCTGAATGGGTTTATAGCTATTATAGATCAGGCTACTATACCGAGGGTATACACCATCGTGACATTAGAACTTATAGAAAGGGGTATAATCTTTGGAATGCTGTTGGAAGAAGTAGCGTTATTGATTTAGCAAAAAATCAATTTAGGGCGTGTGATCAATTAAGCTAAATTACTGTAGCAGCCATATAAATAGCTCCTAAGAAATTCTGAGATGTTTTATCATATCGTGTTGCGATAGCTCTGTATTGCTTCAATTTTGCAAAAAAGTTCTCAATTAAATGTCTGGCTTTATAGATCTCTTTGTCATAATCCAGTGTATTTAGACGGTTTTTCTTTGAAGGAATCACAGCAGTACACCCATTCTCTTTCAGTTTGTTTCTCATACGTGCATCAGCATCGTAAGCCTTATCAGCAAGTACGGTTTTTGCTTTGGTCATTTCATCCATCAAAGTATCAGCCCCCTGCAAATCATGAGCTTGACCAGCTGTGAGATGAAAGCCAGTTGGATTTCCTAAAGCATCACTTGTAGCATGGATTTTAGTACTTAATCCTCCTTTGCTCCGACCAATGGCTTGGTTATCAGGCAACTCTTTTTTTTAGCACCAGCGCTATATTGATGAGCCCTAACAATCGTTGAATCAATCATCGAATACTCGTTATCAGCATCTTTAGCCAATATCTCAAAAACCTTTTACCATGTACCCTTCTTGCTCCATCTTGAATGACGTAGGTGAATCACTCGGAAATCTCCAAAACGCTTAGGTAAATCCCTCCAAGCTATACCAGCTCTGTATCTATATAAAACAGCTTCTACAAATAAGCGATTATCTTTGGCAGTTACACCAACAGATGCTTTCCTCCCGGGTAAGATATCTTTAATTCGATTCCATTGGTCATCACGTAAGGCATAGCGGCGCATAGAGAAATTTTAACCTTAATTTTTCTCTATTCAATATTATATCAATTCTCTTGTCAACCTTAATTGATGACACGCCCTAGTATTGATAATGGATTTACTATTATTGAACCATCAATTCACTTTTGTGAATTTTATCATTTTGCTTCCAATCCAGGAGAAAGAAGTGTATTAAATTTTTACTTCAACAATATTAATATGTTGTACAGGTTTATTGCATATTTTAAGAGTGAAGCACAAAGTATCATATCTTTTTGTTTAAAAAATAAAATACAGTACATATCCACTTCGAATGAAGTTGCTGATGATAATTCTTCGAACAATATATTTGCAGATATCAGTAAAACTACTCCGATTACAAAATTTTATTTTCGACCAGGTAGACTAAATAGAAATGACAATTATCTTACAAAGCGTGAAATTGATATTAGTACATGGCTGATACAATGGAAAACCGCTGAAGAAATTTCTATTATTTTAAATATTTCAAAAAAAACTGTAGAAACCCATATAGAACACATTAAGATGAAGTTGGATTGTTACAAACAAACACAATTAGTAACACAATTAATTAATATAGGGTTAGAAAGAATAATAAACATAGATGTTTGATAATGAATTACAGAGATTATTTTCTCCAAGTGGGTAAAAAAGGTAGTTTGCGTTTGGAAATTCTAAATGAAATTTACAATTTTGGCTCCCAACAATTTTTACTTCATAGCGGTTTAGGAAAAGGAATGTGGGTATTAGAAGTATAGCTTAGGGCACGAGTTTAAATAACTTCCCTAAAGTATGGTAGTATGCTATAA